ATAACACGTTCGTTTTTCCCGCATTTGAAGGACCTGATATAATACAACGTACTGCTTCCGGCAAAAGAGGCCCATTTTTATTAGTAGATGAGCTCATACCGGTACCAAAATATTCATCAAAATTCCGGACAGAAATATGAGATCCTTGCTCAGCTAGTCTCATTGTGACACTGAAACTTTTCCTCTCCTGCTTGAACTTTAAATAACACCTCACCGAGGGATAGCTCTAAATAAGAATATCGCTTTTGTTAACCCATGTGTCGTCTTTACCATCAAAACCCAACCAGCGAACTAGCACTTTATCCCCTTTACGTTTTATTACTTTCTCCACAAGATATACATCCCCAGTCTTAGATATACTCAGCTCAGCCTCATAAAATCCGCCCTTAAGGATTTCCCCTTTAGAATCTTGTAAGATATAAGTAACCGGGTGGGTTGGCTTTATTGCATATATTTTAAATACTTCGTTTGTCCAGTTAGGCATGTATCCTTTAGTGAATACCCGCTTGTATTTGCTAATTCTCACAGAATCGCCGACAGAAAACTTTGGTTTGGCAGCAGCAGCAGCCGTGGCACTTTTATGACTACTATTTATTCGCGATAAAATTGCTTTAACATGTTTTTGCCTCACGTCCTTGGGTTTCATTCCTATAGTTCTATGTTTTGAATTGTTATATTGATCAACGAGCTTCTGCAGAATAGATACCCACTCATAGCTCCCCTTTGCTGTAAATAACGTCCACATTTTTTGTTTTATTGTCCTGTTGAACCTCTCAACAATGCTGGCCTTGAGATATGAAAATGTCGCATAATGATTAATTTTAAACCTGCTGACTAACGCTTTAACATCCTTGTTGAACCATTCTTTACCCTCGTCGGTTTGTAGATGTTTCATTTTATGTTTTAATAATATCGGCTCTAGCACTTTAGCTACTTCAACACCTGTCTTGCCTTTAAGCGGGATCGCAAAAGCAAATTTAGTGAAACAATTAATCATAGTTAGTATATAACGATAACCTTTATTGTATTTTGCATACGGTTGCATCTCAACTAAATCCGCCTGATAGAGATCATTAATACCTTTAAGAGTCACTCTACGTCTTGGATAATTTCGGCGAGCGGGTTTGTGCAGCTCTTGAGCTATTACTCTCCTGATGTCCATTTAGAAATGACATTTAATTTCGCGTTACAGACTACTTTATTTAGAGCGCTACAAAAAGGGGAGAGCATCTGTGTCGCAGTTGCGAGATGGGCTTCAATTTGTTCTGTTGTGTTGTTATATCTCTTCCGCCGCGGTCACCGCCTATAGTTAGAGCCGCTCGATCGTACAGAAAACCGAAACCTGACAACGAGGTCTCTAGTACAATACACCATTACGAGGTTGTAGGGCCTGCACAGCGGCCACTACCGCCACTACCGCGACAATAGGTGAGTTTATTTTCTCTAAAAAGGATGTCATAGCCCCTCCACCGCTATGACACGTGAAGGCCTTCCACAATCATTATAGTTGCCTCCTCCGTGCGGTATATTTTGTATACGCGGTGACCATGTGGTGACCAAGCACCTCATTAAAGACTTACTATTATGTTGTCTCAGTAGGTGACAACCTCAGTTACACTTGTCGCGTCAGAATCTATATTTAGACTCCCCACTACTATCTCAGTAGGAGATGCTTCTCACCATATGTGAACGTGGGAACAGTGTGTAGTATTATGTTGGCTCTACTATTATATATACATAGTGTTTGTAAATCTGCTCTTGTGACTTTAATTGGAAAAGATAATCAGTGTGAAAAATATTACGGGCCACGTGTTTGTGTTGTTCATCCCACCATAAGAGAACGATCGAACTCTTCTGGTAGTGCTAGTACTGTATGGAACTTTGGAGGACCTGCTGAGTGGTCAAGTGAAGAGGAGGGGGAAGACTCTTCAGAAGAGGAATTTATTTGGAGATTACAAGGTGGAGGAGGCTGGAATGGATGGCGAGATTATTAGCAAGATGATGATGATTGATTTGGTGAGTGATGTTTCTTAAAACCGTACGGTAAAGTATCATAGTCCCCATCTCGTTTACGCTTAGGCCCCGTAATCTTAAAACGTTTCGTTTCCCAAACAGTCAGCACGTCCTTACATTTAGTTCGCCTAATTCTCATCTCTGTAACCTCATGCATCGGATTTTCACTTGCTGACAAGACCATTTCTTTGAGTTTTTGAAAATTTAAACTTTTGCTAGCTTTTAGGTTCAGAGTCAGTCCTTTGATTTTACAAACAGAAACAAGATTAGGTCTAACGCCTTTATTAGTATACACAACATAGGCATACGTCTTAGGACCTCCAGAGACAAAAGCAATAATAAATGAACCTGGTCCGTAGTCAGTCAGCTCATCAGTCATCTCACCTAAATAGTCACCAGTAGGTACTTTATGTAGATTATCGCTTAAAAGATATACAACACTGTCTGTGTCGTAGTAGATTACCTGTGCTCCTAAGGCCTTAAGATGCTCGTACAGCTTCAACCGTGCTTGCGCTGTCGTGTATGCCGCTATAGCCACATTCACCCTACGCAAAGAACCACCCACCTCCTCTAAATTTTGCCAATTTACCAACAATGTATCTTGATTGATTTCCTGAATAGTATTTACCTGAACAGCAGGGTTAATTAACATATTGAACAGAGTCTCAGGATCTCGCACAATAGTAGCCTTTGTCTGATTTTCTCTCTCCCCAAATTTTCCCCAAAAGCTGTTCAACATTAATTTTGCTAGTGATCGGAGACCGCCGTTCTTTTCAATTTTCAAAGGATCCAAACTGATTCCTTCATGGTCAAGGTACTGCCTTATATATCTATTTTTGTCCTCGTCAGTTTGACACCATTCTGGATATCCTGATGCTTCTTGTTTCATTTTCAGAAATTTATTAATAAACTCTGTAAATAAGCCTCCTTTTTCAAAAGTTGCAACACCATATTCCCAGAGTTCATAGTACTGTAGAATATTATATCCGTTCTCTACTGCTACGCGGATCTCATCCATTACACATGTTCCTACCAAGGCTCTTTCGTCATCAGAGTGATGACAGTTATCCTGGTTTGTCTCCTCACCACATTTTCTGCAAAGTACAAACATAAGCTTCCCATGCATTCTTGAAGGAAGAACCGGGTGATATAGATCTACTGGAGGAAGGATTTTACATTTCAACAAACCCTCTACAGACAATCCTCTTCCCCGGCATTCTGCATCTCCAACATATACCGTCGGATGGCCTACAGGGTACTTTCCATACTTACACACATATGGGTACAGCGAACAAACATCTACATATTTTATTTCCTCACCAGACTCACACTCATGATAGGTTTTTGTGTTTCCTGTACGGCCACCATAAAACGCGTCTCTTGGAATCAACGGTACATTGTTTAAAACCGGGTGGTTCTCCAAATAACTAAGATTCTCTTGTTTCTTTAACACAAGAAAATCACACTCCCACATCTCTATCACTTCATATAAAGTGTTGGCTAATCTGTCCATTTTCTCTTTTGTCTTTTGGTATCTATTGTTAAGCGTGTCAGATGGGTCATCCTGGAGGCGCTCGTCACGTTTGAAGGAAAGCATTTTTTGCAGCCGTGGAAGTAGCACCCGTGAAACTCATAAATACGCTCTCCATCAAACCCATCAACTTTATAGCCATCTATAACTGTCTCTCTCTCCCTACCAGCATGCTGTATTCGTACATTTCTTTGCATCTCCTCGTAGACTAACCACTGGAGAGCTATAGATGATTGAGTGTCACCCATCCTATAGCCTTGCTTAGGAATCAGTCCTATTGTATTTGGTTTGAGAAAATTTCTCCTAAACGCAAGATTACAAGCACTTGCTATTGTCACAGCTTCTAAAAACGGGTCTACATTGCACTCGGTCAATAGTAGGTTCCTAAATTTAATGCAGGCCTGTGCAAGAATGTCAACATCAGAAATACAGTATTCCACCAGTTCTTTTTGAAAATCAAATGTATAATTACTGTTTACCTGCTCATCATACCATCTCTGAAAGTCCTCATGCGTCTTTTCAAACATTGTATCAGGGCAGAAATATTCTCGAGGTGGCATTGGTCCTTTGTAGCTCTGGTTTGCTAAGCTATTAAAGAGGTGGGGAAAGTAACCTTTCTTCTTCTCAGGTGGCAAATCAAAAGCTTTTGGAAGGGCTGACAGAGGCATTGGAAAATAGTTAAGGGAATCAATGAAGCGCAAATTATCAAACTTCATTAGAACAATCTTAGATCCGCGCATAATCAGTTCAGGAGTGAATTTTGTATTTTCTAATACATATTTAAGAACGAATTGAAAATCAAAGCCCTGACCATTGTGTGCAATCACACATACATCTTTATAATGTCTCCTTAGAGCCAATACGTAGTCCATAAAGCCGTGGACAGGGTCATCTAAAAATATGCGGGTCCTAGCTTCACATTCTTCACAAGGCGGCTCATTAATACATTTATGGCAGAACCGTTGAGAGACACAAAGGTTGACTCTATGAACCTTTTTATCACGCTCAAACTCTGATAGGCATTCGTCCTGTCTTGTCTCAAAATCAAAGAATATGTAGAGAAAATCTGATGTTTTTGGTTTTCTAGTATCTACTTGCATATAACACTTGTGGTTCGCCTCTTTAAAGTCCATACATATTTGACACCAAACCTCACCACAAACATGAGGAGCTTTCCTCTTACTCAACCAAATCAGTTTGGTACACTCTTGACATTTATAAACTGATTTACATATACTGTTCTGATGAGCTGTAAAACAGAGCTGATTTTTAAAGTGTCTATTACACTTCGGACAAAGTATACCATTATATTCTATCTTGCATGGCGGAGATGTTATCATACAAGCTGAACAAATAGTTTCACAATGATGATCACCAGCTGTGTTATACGGGACGTGACAGCCTTCACAATAGTAATTACAAGCAAAAGCACCGGTCAGATTAGTAATCACATTATAGTGACCCTCATGAAACATAAGGTTAATTTTATACTTGGCATTCTCCGGATCACCTGAGTAATACACTTCACGCCCCTTTCTGTCATAATTGTATACGGTTATTTGATACTTTTTCAAATGAGATTGGAATTTTTCTAATTCTGTCACACCCGCTCCTTCTGTAGGAATATCTATTTGTGTTTTATCCAACAACTTTCTAGCTTTAAGGTCCTGACGCCGCCCCTTATTTGCCCTAATCAATGTCCATTCAGGGTCTTTTTTCGCGTGAGCCTTTGCTACTACCAAAGCTCGTGGAAGGCACAGATTATCTTTATTTTTAATTACCACTATTGATTTTCTTGATCGACACTCCTCGTCAAAACTATTAAAAAACCCTGGTCGTCTACGTCCACTGCCTACAGGTAAATTAACACGGGTACAGGTGATTTTAAACGTGTCACTAGATTTAATTATGTCAGTATTACTTTGAATTATTCCCCCGAATATTTCCCACAGGATCTCTCCATTAACCTTATCAGCGGGTCTAAACGCTACGTACCCGGGCTCACTTTGTTTTAGATTCAAACTCTGCAGTGTAAACCCGAGCTGATCAGTATCAGACGCTTCAGATTTAACCTTATCAACCAATTCATTAAACCCATGCTTCAACCACTCAAGCTCATTTGTATCTTTAGGCGGATTATTAAATTTAAATGTAGTCCTAATACCATACAACCTGAATCTTTTAACATATGTCTCCTGTGTACTTAACACCTTAACAACTTCCATTTAGTTAAGTATCAAAACACATAGTGAAAAAAGCAGTATAATATAATAGTGTACTTAACACCTTATTAACTTTATTTAGTTAAGTATAGAAACACGTACTGGTCAGCGGCAGAATAGTATGATACGTTAAAATAATACAATACAACACAAGTTTTAATAAAACACTACTACCGGCATAACAGCGTAAAGAATAGAACAGTGAATTAAATGCTAAACTCACCTCAAGTCAGGGAAAGACACTGAACAAGACTGATTTCTTAAAATAAACTTCCATCCTTTTATAAGACAACAAGCGGAAGTAGGCCTTGGCCTCACACCAAATATGGCCAAGCATCAAAGTGACACACAATACGCATATCATGTCCTCGACATTATTAGCCAAAACATTTTAGTCACGATTGTGCTATTATGCCCTCGACATTGTTAGCCAAACATTTTAGCCAAAATTGTGCCAACAATATAACCTATTGCAACAATATAACAGGGTCGCATAACAATGCGACCATATATATTCCAATTACGCACCGCCGCGCGAGCACGTCCATAGCCTCTGTCGCCGCGCGATCACATCAAGCACGTCCGAGGTCGCACGTCGCCGCGCGATAATATCTAACCCAGAGACACGCATATTCACAGTAAAGCCTAGTCAACTTAATCACCCCTCTGGTGGCCAAAATCAAAACCAAGCACACCTAGCGGACAAAATCAGAACTCCATCACCCCTCCTCTGGTGGCCAAAATCAAAACCAGACACATTAGCTGCGGCGGCGGCGGCGGCGGCGGCTACCGCGGCTGCTATCGCCTCCATATACACCCTTACACTCTTGTCTTATTAACTACCGTTGTAGCCGAGTGGATAGCGTACTCGCCTCTCACCCAGGCGCCCCGGGTTCGAATCCTCAACCCGCCCAAACACTTTTTATCCTATACACACACACCTCCAAGTCTATTATACCACCTTACACTCTTATCCTATTAACTGCCGTTGTGGCCGAGTGGATAGCGTACTCGCCTCTCATCCAGTCAGACCGTGTTCGATCCCCCGAGCCGCCAAGTACTTTTTATCCCATGTCCAAATATGGAGCTCCCATAAGAGCCCATGTAAGTTCTATCTTCGCCCACATACTACTGTCGTACCAGTCATTGTCTCAACACACGCAGCGGTATTTTATTTTTATTTTATTTTATTTTATTTTATTTTACATTTCAACGGAAAACTCCATTTTTTCACATTTGAACAATAAGAAAGAAAGAATTCAAGATACTGACGAACATGCATATAAATGTTTAACCAAACTAAAAATGCCTAAATATGGCTAAATATAAAGTAAGCAATGTGTGATTGTGAGGGTCCCCTTCTGCCTTCTGCCTTTTTTTTTTATATATATATATATGTAGCAATATTTATTGAAGGGCAGATAGGGGATTACAATGGTCCCTATGGGTTACATGCAGTTTGATTGATATTGACATAGAGATGTATAACATAGTAATATTAACAATTGACTTTACAGTTAAGAAGTTATGCAGAGTGAGATGTCTTCCCTCCGCTGTAGCATCTCCTAGACAGACAACTCATGCAGACTGGCGATCCTCCTCTTGAGCACTGGTATACTGTCCGAGAAAAAGTCAACGACGTCGGCGACGCTATTACCAGATCTCTGAAGTCGGTACATCGTGTCGTTTGCTGCATAGTTGGTACGATGTTGCTGCCTAGCGAACAGGTCTCTGGAGCGAGTGGCTGAAGGGGTCCTGAACAAGATCTGGCTCAGCATATCGGGACAGTCGATCATGCCGTTAAGGATCTTTGACAGCAGTACAACGTCAGCCGTGAATCTGCGATCAGCAAGAGATTGGAGTCCCAGATCACGAGATACTTCCTCGATGGGAACCTGACGATAGGGAAGACCGTTCCTGACACCCACCATTCGGAGAAATCTTCTTTGGATAGACTCTAGTTCCTCTATGAGAAACTTCTGGTGGGGGTTCCATACTGGAGAGCCATATTCAAGGATTTGGCGTACCAAAGTGCAGTACAAAGTCTTTAAGGCCGTGTCGCTTAAGCCTTTTTAAAAGCGGAAGACAAATCCGAGCATTTTGTTTGCTCTGCTGCAAATGTTTCGCACATGCAACTCAGGGTTCAATGAAGGTAACAATGTGACACCGAGATCCTTTACCTGCAGTACACGAGTTAAGGGCTCACTGCGTAAGTTGTAGTCGTAGACAATGGGGGAGAGATTCCGGTGGAAGGTCATCACTTGACATTTCTTCGTGTTGAGTTTCATCTTGTTATCTTCGCACCAGCGGTCAATCACACACAGATCTTTCTGGATTCGTAGGCAGTCCTCTTCAGTGGATATGATGGAAAACAGTTTCACATCATCAGCGAACAGAAGTGAATCGCATTGGAGAGCTTCGGGTAGGTCATTTATGAAGAGTGAAAAGAGATAGGGTCCCAGCAGCGATCCTTGGGGAACTCCAGAGTATGCAATAAATTCTGATGAAGTTGCCGAAGCAAACTTGATAAATGACCGCCGGTTTGAGAGGTAGCTTGTCAGCCACTTAATTTCCGTGCTTCCAAATCCTTGATCAAGCAGTTTTCTCAAAAGTAGTGTGTGGTCTACCGTGTCGAAAGCCTTGGAGAAGTCCAGATATATGGCATCTAGCTGATTATTGACAGTGAAGGCTTCCTGTACTTTGGAATGAAATAACGTTAAG